GTCAAAATGGGCTTTTTTTTGTAGTGTGCCTATGAAAGGTGTTCATGTGAAGCTTCAAGTGGTCACTGCAATGCAGTGAAGTGATAGCCTTTCTTACTTGCAGTCTGAAGAAGGTGAGTGTTGTTTTCCTTCCAGCAGTCACTAGTGGAAGCAGGTTGTCTTAAATGTGCCTCAATTTAAATGTTGCCCCCAAGCTGGCCAGAAGGAGAGTGCTGTGCTGACAGAGCTGCTGATTGTCCCCTGATTCAAGGGAGGGATAACCCATTATTGCTGCTGTCTGCAGTCGGCTTGTCTTTCTCTTTCCAGCTTGTATGTGAATCAACACATATATATATATACATATCCAGCTTGTATGTGGAGATGAAGCATAGAAAGGGAAGTGATCCTTCAGCAGAGTGGGAGCAGGGGTCTTGGAAGGGGGAGCTGCCTTCCCAGTAGCATTATGTGGGCAAGCATCTACATACACTGAGGTTTTGAGACTTCTTATGGCTGATGAGTTTCAAGAGATACAAGGCCATGAAAAAAAGCATGGGTTTCTGTTTGCGTAAGTTTAATGAGCCCTTACTAAAGGTTCAGTGCATAGACTCCGACCTGTTTCACTTCAAGTGTCAGGTATGTTTGAACTTTAAGTGAAACATTAGCTAATGCATGTCTGGATTTTTTTTTCCTTCAAGTCTCTAAATACTTTTTGGGATGTGAGTCTTTACTGAGGTTTTTCGTAACTAGATTTTGAGAACTTTTGTCTGTGACACTTGTATTTTCTTAAAGCAAGTAGCAAGGCTGGATTCAGTCCATTGTGTGAGAAGAAGAATGTATTCCCTGGAGCTAGCTGCCCTCCTGCAGCAGAACTTAAACTTTAAGGGATGTGTTTATTAAAATGAACTGCTAGCAAATGGAGATGTTCTTGTGTCTGCTTTGGAGAGATGAGGAGTGTGTGTCAAGTCTCAAACTGTTCAGTTAAAAGAAGGCATAGTAAGCTTAATTTTTTCCCCTGCCTCCTCTCCTCCTTTTTTATGACCCCTTTTAAAATTAAATAGGGAAGATAAACTGCTGGAAGTTAAACTTGCTCACCTCAAGTGCCAAAGAGCAAGGCAACAAGCATCTGCATCCTAAATGGGCTGAAATCACTAGGTATATTAGAAGTTAAGTTGTGTTTAGGTGAGTATCCTGGAACAGTAGGATCACTTTTTCCTCAACTGCAAAGTCCAGAGGATTTTATCAGAAGTAACAATTGTTTGGTGAAGCTGATTAGACACAGCTGTCATCTGCTAAGTAAGCACTTAAATTTAATAAAAATGTCTCAATTTTTTCCATTCCTTATGTGTTTGGAAAAGAGCTTATTAGTTGGTACACTAGAAGGGATAAAGCACACATCTTCATATTTCTGTAGCTTGGGTATTACCTTTTACAAAATCACTACAGCTAAAGCAAGCTGCTGGACTTTGTCAACTTCTGCTTCATCCCTGTGTGAATGTTTTGGCATAGTGTCCTGTAAACAGGATGTGGAACTGTTGGAGCCATGTTTGACTTCAGTCATTGGAGTTTTGGAAATGTATGTGCAAATTCTATCTGCTTATAAAGCATGTGTAGAACTTGATCCCAAAGACAAAATACTCTGGATCAAACAGAACATGTAATACTGCCTTTTGTTTTTTGCTATTGCTACATTACTTTTTCCATGCTGTTAATCTGGAATTGTTTGGAATAGTCTTAGAGCTGACTAGTTACTCTGTGTTTCTTGGTAGTGCATGAACTATATGCAGAATGCAATTTTGATGCCTTACTTTGCATGTTATTCCAGTTTTGAAAAAAACAAGCACTGTTCCGATGCAGATTTCAGACACAAATCCTGCTATATAAACCCTTCTAAAATAGAGACACACTTCAGTGGAGAATCTCTAAATGGGATGCTTGAATGGTCTGTGGCCAAGTAAATAAATATTTCCTCAGTTTCAAGAAACATAGCACACAGCTGCTCCTTACTCCTTGTTGTAAAATAACAGGCCATTTGCTGACTGAAGCAAGCTATTGATAATATTGCTAGCAGCTGCTGAACTCTTAGTGTTAACTTAAACAGCTCATAAATGTTAATTATGTTGCAGTTTTGTTAGAGCTCATCTGCATATCCCAGAGGCACTAGCTAATATGTCATGCTTTTTTCCACATGAACTGATGACATTTCTTAGTGGAGATTCCAAATAACTTCCTAAGTGAGTTCAGTAATTTTACTGTAGCAGTGAAAGTTTTGAAGAAATTTCTCTTTTAACTGCAGTTTCACTAGTACTAGTATAGTTTTACTTAAATGTGTTTCAGTAGGCACAGAGCTGCTGAGCATGTGGTGGAATTAGTATAAAGTAGAAGGGAATGTACTGGGTGCTTACTGACCTGTTGTTGGGAGATATGTGACAAAGTTAAATCCAAAGCCAAACTGAACAAAATCTGTTGAGTTTATCCCATGCTTTGGTTTAAAGTCACTTTCATATTGTTACAGTTTTACTGCTATACAAGTGTGAAAAGCTTACTCGAAATGTTTACAGGCTACTGTAAAAGTGTGTGTTATCTGCCTAATAACCACTTAAATGATGTTTCAGGGCCTTTTAACAGTCCCTCCCATTTTTCAGCCAGTGGGGATGTGTTCTTTAAAACAAAGCTCTCAAGCGAATAATTTTTTCCCTTCAGGTCAGATTCTGCTAGTGTTCTTTGTAGAAAACACTGGTAAACTTCCAGAACCTGATTTTGAGACTATCAAAATGATTGTGAATATAGCATGTATGAAAGCACAGATAATGAAATGAAAGCTGCTCTATTATCATTGAAGTTTAACTTTTTGATTTTAGTCACTGTTTTTAGACATTGATTTTAGACACTCAGAAAGAGGACAGTGTTATTGATAGTGCATACTATATAGAGAAGTTATACTTACAGCATCTAATAGTTGTTCTCTCATCCTTACTTTTTTGTGGTCATCCAGTGGACCTTTTCCTCTCTAGGGCAGTGTTTACCAGAAGTACACTTTGTGCTTGGAGGATATACTGCCTACCAAACTAGTTGGAATTGCAGGTAGTCTGGTCTTTTGGTATCAGCCTGTGATTGCAGGTTAACCTGGTGACAATGCAGCCATTCCCATGCAAAGCTGTATGCTCTCTGCTGTGTATTTGCCTGGTGCTTTGATTGCGTGTGTGTGTGGTTTTTCCTCCTCAGGGTTCTTTCCTGGCTGCTTGTAGAGGAATTTCTGTCCCTGAAGTGGTGTGCAGACAGGGATGAGTATTGCAGACTGATGCTAGATGGATCTGATCCTGTATGGTGGGGGGTCCCAACTTGAGCTGGAACCTCTTGTCCTTGTTAAGATAGACCTCATGCAGGGAAGTATGATTTGGGGTGAGGAAGATCAAAATATGTTGTTTGGTTTTTCTTTTTATGGGGGTGTTGAAAGTATCAAATCAGTGCTATGGAAGGCTAACATCAGACCTTGCTGAAATCTGTGAGCAAGGGTTTGATCTCGCAACATTCAGTCGTCTTATTTCCAGGGACAGAATTAAATATCACTCTAATTCAGATAGAGGTGTGTGAGAATTGGTTTCTGGATTTGCTCATAAAAGCCAGGAGAAATATTGGATGGTACACAATCCAGTAGCTTTTGGTTAGAAGTGAAACAGGAAACTTTTTGGGAGAATAGAGGAGGACTCCAGATTGTGTGTAGTTGAGTTATAATTCTGATACTTTGGGAAAAACATGATTACAAAAAGAATTCTGGGTTTTAAAAACTTTAGAGTTCACTTATTTCTAAATAACTGTATAGTTAATTAGAGCTAGTATGACCATCCAACTGTCAATTCTGATCGTGTCTTTTCAGTATTTTTCAATGGGTTTTTAGTTTTTGTTCATTTTTTCCTTTTAGTTTTCTTGCGAAGGTCCACCTAAAAAGTCTACTGTTTTCCTTGATTTCTTCTCCATCTACATGCATGTCTCATGCAGCAGATGGAGACAGCTTGTTGAGATTGGATATGATTTCACGTATCCAGAGTGGTACTTTTAGAAGAAATAAGAAAGAAGAAAACACACAAATTAATTTTCTCAGTGGTGACTCCAAGTGTCTTGTTTTGAGTCTGAAAGTAGATTTCCTGTGCTGCATCCCTGAATGAGAATAAAAGCATACTCAAATGGCTGAATGCAGGAACTTGATTAAGAAAATGGTGACTTGAATATTGACCTTCTTCAAAATTCAGGTTCAGAAATATTTTCTTGTGGCTGCACTCCAAATTACAGCTTGAGGTTTTTTCACCCACACTGTGTGTATTTTGGTTTGATGTGAATTGGGTGCTGATGAAAAGGATAACTGACTTGGATGGAAGTTTGACACATGTAGGAAAATGTGTACCTGAAAAATCATGGCTAATGAAGTAGCCCTAAGGCTGATCTCAGGTCAGTCTGTAAACCAAAAGAGTGAGATAGACAAAAGAAACAAGTAATCCTGAGTAAGAAGCTTTCCTGGTTTTGTTTCTTAATTCTGTAAACTACTCAAAAGTCTGAATGGATGGCCTAAATGTTACTGCAAATCTTATTGTTCCAAGTCTCTGAGCAAAGGAATAAATTGATTGTGAACATTAAGTCCCGCATTCAAAGATTTGACTTTGGATTTGTAAAGGACTTCAAGAAAGCAGTAGTTAAAGGAGGCTAACATACATAGCATACAACAATGTATGGTGTACACTGATTTCTTTACAATCTACATTTTGAAACCCAAACAGGCCAGTGAACTGCCAAAGTGCTTGTCTGTCCAGGTGGGGAGAGTGCATCACCAGTACCATCTTTCCTATTATCTGTGAGGCTCATAAGTAGGAAAAAACCAATCAAGTTGATTTAGCAGAAACTTGTGTTTTAGTAGGTAACTTGTGTGGGGAGAAGAAAAGTGATGAAAAACGGAAATGTTTTTTAAAGGTACAAAAGAAAAATTGTCAACAGTTTTAATAATATTTTTTCTTTCTATTTCCTTCTTGCAGACCTTCAAGTGCTGACCTTCTTGGTCTATTAAGTTATTATAAACTTTTGCTGCTCTGCGAACATAGAAAGATGTCTCGCAGCCCTGACGCTAAGGAAGACCCTGTGGAATGCCCTCTTTGCATGGAGCCTCTGGAAATTGATGACATCAATTTCTTCCCTTGCACCTGTGGGTACCAAATCTGTCGTTTCTGTTGGCATCGTATTCGCACTGATGAGAATGGACTTTGTCCTGCTTGCAGAAAGGTAAATCCCTGGAACAGCACCTTGTCTTGCACATTTCACAAGGCTTTTGTATTGTCTTGGTACCAAAGACATCCTTTTCCTTGAGGGAAACAATCATCTAGTCATGGCCTAGATCAAGGGTGAGGTGTTGGATCCTTCAGTTTCTGTCTGCATATGTATTGAAGCTGTTATGAAACAGCTGGTCTTAGTTTATTAAATTCAGAACCAGATTGATAGGGGAAGCTGTGGATCAGAACTAAGGCATGCTGATGCTGAGAGAACTGCTAAAAATAAAACTCCTTTTAGTTGGGGTGCTAATGCATTAACAAAGTCTTTTCAGGAAGGATAGTGAGGATTCCAGCATCAGGGGTTTGCTGAGAGCCGAGGTTCAGCTAAACTGACAGAGCTGACTGAAAAGCAAGTTTATAGAGCACCTACTTATTTTGTTTGTGGCACTGGAGCTTTTAATCCATATTTTAGTGGATACTAAATGTATAAAAACCTTTGGAAAGATATCCACTGGTAAATTCTGAAGCATTTCAAAATCTAGACTGTTTGTCTACTATTCTGATCTTGTTGCCAAATGCTTGAAGGTGGTCCTTGATATCTCCTTGTGTCTTGATGTCTGGCTGATTTGGTTGACCACAGCTGTAAATCTCAGCTTCACTAAGTTGCCTGTTATTTCCTTTGAATTATTTTTTCTTCTTCTAGTGTTTTGCTTAAACTCATTATTTCCTTATCTTCAGTGTTTAATGAAATTCCTTTTCAGTATCTTCTTGCATTTAATGACTTCCCTTGACTGTAACTTTCTTGCCTGGCCTTACTCTTCTTGTAGTTGCAGCTACTTATGTCTTCTTGTTCTCCTACTATTTAATCATGATCCTATCCCTAGTTTATGCCTCTCTTGTCTTCCTGTCTCATGTTACAGCTTCCTTTTCAGACCCCAAGTAATCTTACTTGGTCTCACTATCTTTATTCACTACCACAGTATTTTTAAGCACTTCCAGTCATATTTTCTTGCTGCTCTTTTGGGCTTTGGCTACACTAGAGTTGCTATTGTTCACCTGTATTTGGATACGTCTGCAAGCCTGAAGGCTCTCTCACAGTAACATGTTTGTTTAAAAATTTGGCAAATTTGCTGCAAAATTTGAGCTCCATGTTCTACAAGGAAGATCTGCATGTCATCAGCCAAATCATTTTCCACTTGGGATACCTGCTGTAGATGACACATGCTGTATAGTAATTTCCCACAGTACAAGATGATTTCTACTCTTCCCATGCAACATGAGATTTCTGGGATTTCCTTGTTGAAGTCGCCTTGTTTTCCTGGATTTGTTGCACTACTTTTTACCTGTTTGTTATTCCGTGTCTGTGAAATGTATTTGAAGAATCACAGAAGCAGTGTGCTAGTCACTGTTTTTGGGTGTCTGAATTCTTTGAAATATGCTGAACTCTTTAATGTGGAATACTCTGCCCTATGGTTGGATGTGCAAATATTTTGCCTGATTGGATACAATTTGCTCAGAAAAACTGTTTCATGAGGAAACCTCGAGTAAGTGCGATGATTGGAGTGAATCGTACTGACCACTCCTGGAGAGGAGACATCTTTCATAACAGATGAGGATTATGTTGGTACTTTCTTCATCCATGGACTGCAAGATAATCTTGAGTGGATTTGGAGCTGTATCACTGGATTGTAAGAGGTTGGCATGAAGAAGGCTGGCTGAGCGGGACGTTTCTTCCGTGGCATAGATAAAGACATTGTGATGCAGAGACCACACCAGGATCTTGGGAATAAATCATCTTGAGCTACAGAGTTGCACCATGAAACAAGGGAAGAAGCCATCTTTTGAAGTGTGCTGGACAAAAAGAACCAGGTAAGTGTGTTTGTGCTGTGTGTGTCTAAGTAGTCCCTGTCTGTGTATAGTAAGGCTTCTGGGGAAAGATCTGAGCATTTTTCTATTTGTAATTACTATGGCGTACGTTGATTGTGACCACTTAAACTGCTGAAGCACAGAACATGGCAAAGCAACAAAGTTTTAGCAGCAAAGTTCATAGTAGGTACAATGGTTTTGATAGGTATGCCTTATTGTTATGACAAGTATACCAGGATATATACAGTGAAATGCAGGATGCTTACTGTGAAATGGACTGTGGATAAACATATATGAAAACAAGAATGAGTATGTTATTTACAATTACATACTAGAAATTTGCTCTTTATGCCAATGTTATTGAATGCGGTGGGACTTGCCCAGTAATTTGAGCACTATTCCATGGAGAGGAGCAGTGAACAAGTTCCTGTCCAGGGGTTTTGGTTGAAGTGTTTGGGGGAGATTTTGGAGAAGTCTGTAATAAAATAGCTTGGCTAAATGCTGTGGTGGCACATATGCCATTAGATCTTAACTGTGCATTGCCATTGCATATATACCACTATCTTCATAAGCTTCTTGAATTCATTTCTGACTGAAAAGATGTTCTTCTGCCTAGGAGAGAATACTTCTACATGTTTGAACTGTTACATAACTTAATATCTGTATATGCAGAATATGTTCATGTGGTTGCAGTCAATTGATTTAGTCTGCCTTAAGTTTCTTCCTGTGAATAATAGTAGTACACAAACATTTGCTTTAGTAAGATGCTAGTGTGAATTAAACTTAAATGCTGGTTGGAAACTGGTATGTCTTAGTTAATACGAAGTTAATACTAATGTTAATAACATGTTAATACATGTTAAAAATTTTCTAAACTTCATTCAAATCTTCTGAAATAGACACGGAAAATAGTCTTATTTCTAGAGAAAAGAAATTGTTTCTATTTAATTCATTAACTCCAAAAATACCTACTTCAAAAGAAATGGAACTGTCTGGCTTTGGGTTCCTGATGCCCTTCAAAATTGTCGGCATAGCCAGTTGTAAGATACTAAGCAAGGCTTCCTGGTTTTTTCCAGTTAATTGATTTCTTAACTGTGAATGAAATAGCTGCTAACTAGATAAAATAGCATGAAAATATGCTGTTTTCAGAACAGATTTCTGTAGCCAGAAGCTGGTTTGCAGGTCAGCAGACTTGCTGGTTCTGATTGTAATGCCAGTGATTTTTCTTTGCAGGAATATTTCTATTATCCTTTCTGTAAAATTCAGCAGTCTAGGTCCTGTTTGGCATGTGAATAATACATACCATCCCAATTGCTTAATTACAACATGCCACTCTCAGCCCTTAGTGTCAATTCCTGCACTTTTTAAATCCAGCAACAAAAAAGCCTAGCTTGTTCATGTTTCTTAAGTACTTTGCTCTTCCCTAAAATAATATAACATGATAGAGAGTTGTTCCTGTGGTGTGGCTTTGGCTTCTTCTCCAGTTCCTTGACTGAGCGACCTTTATCTCTCCTGTGTGAGATCTAGCCCCTTGTGTTAGAGATGGAGGGAAATAGCATACTGCTAGATGTATGATCAAGAAATTAACATGCTTTGTTAGTCTTTCTCCTACTGCTTCTGTGTAAAAGGAACACTTAGTTTTAATGCACAGTCTCCACATATCAGTGTTTCCTCCTATGCTTTCCATCCCACAACTGAGTCCTTTGATGCAACAAGTGATATTTTGAAATAGATAGGAAATTGCTGTTTTTAAAAATGTAAGTACAATGTTGTATGCTGTGCATAAACCTTATGGACTTCCTTTGTATTTCTTGTTTCAGGACCTATTTGGTAGCAAGACAACAAGTGGGAAATGTTGGTGCATCCATTCTGTGGAAGGAATGTGACCTACCTGGGAATGACAAAAGCAAAGTGCTTGATAAATCACAGATCAGCTTTCAACAATTGGGAAATGGGGGAAAAATGTCTGAAAGGAAACAAAACTGAAATAACAAGACAAAATTAGTCAGGAAGACTGAGAATTCATCAGGGCAATCTCTGATTAGAGAAACCAAGATTTGCTTCTCTAAAAAAGACCAAGGCATTCAGACTTTTGGTGACATTCTTGTAGGGACTGCCTTGCACTTAATGTAAAGAAAATTTGGTCATATTCTATGATGGCATACTTGTTTGGGGAACCTCAACGTTTTTTTCTGAAAAGTGTTGGTGTAACTTAAGTGAAAGGTATCAGCTGAACTTAGTCAGTGAATCAGTGATGTTGATATCTCCTAATGTCTTGCATCTGAAAGTACATCCATGATGATACCACTAGAGGTAGCTACTTTGTTTGGATCTCAAATCCTTTGTCAGCTAAGGCATTAGAGACAGTATGTTAAGCAAGTATGTTGTTTTAAAAAAATAAGATGTGGGCCTGTCAGTAGCATTTCCACTTTAGTCGTTGCAAGACCTGAGAGCTGCTGATATGTATAGTCCTCTCTCTACTTCTGATTTGTAGGGTTAGACAACATAAACAACATGCCAAATGGTGCTGTGAAGTACACCAGCTGTCAGTCCACCTTGCTTGGCTTTCAGAGACTTGTTCCAGCAGTCTGCAGTGCATGCACGTGTTTGTAGTTGAACCATCATCCAAGTTCATGAACTTCAGCACTGTGGGAAGCAATGACTCTGAAAATGAAATCATTTATTTCCCTTTCTGTGGGCTGATTTTTGTCCTTTATTTGAAAGGAAAATGGTTTCTAATACTATTTTTTTTTAGAATTAGTTTCTGAAATGTTGCTGTGCTTATTTGCCTTCCACACTCTTTAAATGTGCAATATCTCCTAATTTGTTAGTATGCCACACATGATACATAGCTAGGGAAATCTCAGTTGTGTGTGGGTTATTCTTGGGATTCAAGAGATGTGTGCAGATTCATTTATAGGTCCTGCAAATCAGGATATCACACTATTTCTATTCCTTGGAAGCATTGTAAGCATGTCATATGTGTGATGCACATACAAAACATGTATTTAATACAGTTCTACAGTATCTAGTGAGAACTTCAGAAGATTCTGTTGCTCAAACAAGTGTGGTTATCCATGGTGGCACACCAATTGCTGCTGTTACTTAATGATTGAAGTTCCTGTTCTGCTAGTCTCAAGCTTTCTGCTGAGATGGAGACATTTCTCTTTCCCTGATTCTGAAGCTGCTGTCTAGTTGTGTTCCTACTAGGAGTTCTTATGCTTTCCTGTAGAAATACAAACTACTGTTTGGACATATAAAGGTTCTGTTCAGGATTATGCTTGAACTACCCAGGATATTTCCTGATTCATGTTCAGGACCTCCAGCAGCAAATAGCTGTACAGAGAAGAAATATCCTGTCTGACTTGCTACTCACGTGAGAATATGCTCTGAATGTGGCTGGACTTGGCAAGAAAGAAGCTGATGAATTTTAACACTGTTTGCTGTAGTTTCCTTGGACCTTCAGGAGCCTTACTGAACCTACTGAAAACCATTAATGCATTTCTTGCACGGTACCAGAGAGCAGCACTCTTGCAAGTTTTGCCTTGCATATTATGGAATGTGGAGTAGGAATTAACCTTTGAAGGAATGGATTGTGGATAGGACATCACTTGGTGTAGGGCAAGCCATATTTTTGGAACTATATCTGTTACACTGGTGCACTTCTTCCCATTCCTACCTGAATTCACTGATAACTGAGAACTCACTTTTACCCTGAGTAGTCTGTCTTTCCTGTAAAAACCCAAGATTTTTATTCTTTAGTTTATATTATTGACTAATACAGATTTTGAGAAGCTCATTAAGTGTAAAATTATTCTGCATCTCAGAAGTCCTCATATATAGGTGTTAAAACACAGGTTAATAATTGGCTATTGCAAATCTCAAGTGTCCTTACTTACACTCGTTGGTGTACATCAAGTATATTCTGAAATCTGTATAATGTATTCAGTGTTAACTCTGAGTTAAATGAGTAACTAATGGGAGTAATACTGAATATCTTTTTGAGAAATGTTATGGTTTTGACTGTTCTTCAAGGGTAACTCGAGTCCTTACTGTGTTTTCATGTTAAGGACACCTTCGGCTACTGCTAGAGTATCATAGGCATTTGAATTCTTTTGTGATACTAAAACATGTTCCAGAGGACTTGATGTTTGACTGTGAGATGACATCTGCTCAAGTCAGCTGTAGCATATTTGCAGAAGATCTCTCACATGTAGCATAACAATGCTGAACTTTAAACTGAAGAATGAATTTTGATTTGTTTGGGGATGTAGTCAGAAGACTATTTGGTCTGAGCACTTGGTGGCTCTTTGAGTTACATCATGCAGCTATGAGGAAGATGAGCTTTTAACCTAAACATTTTCATCTGCTGTAGATTTTTTTCAGGTTTAGTATGACAGCTAGTTTTGTACTCTTGTCATTAACACAGGACAGTCAGGAAAAAGTTAAATTCATTTTTGTTGGACTTGCACACTGAAACCTTTGGTTATGGTAGTACAAGCAAAGACCTTAGTTTAACATACTGGTGAGCTTGAGCTAACTTCTTTGTCTTAAGTCTTTGTCTTAATTCACATCTCCCATACACTTCTCATTTTTTAATTCTTGGTGTTTAGAAACTCTTCTTTCTGCTTGAGATATGTTCTGTGTACTTGTTTTTGTGCTTACAGTGTTTTGTTTTTGTGTGAACAATGTGAAACCTCACTTTTCAGTCTGAAAAAAATTGGGACAGGTAAGGAATGTGGGACTGCTTTGAGGAGTAATCTGGGGCAGAGGACAGTGCACTGTGGTCTGCAAGACCCAGCTAAAATAGTGCCTTTATAGCATGAATAGAGCAGTCTTTCTAGGTAACTCTGAGGATACTTCTACTTCTCTTGTATACTTTTGAGATTAAAATATACTGTGTTATCTGTAAGGAGTTGCCTGTAGGGACGGAGAGACCAAACTTCAAACTGATACATAAACATGGCAAGAATACTGTCATTAATAGTATTGAAATCTGTCTCTTCACTCGAAATTAACCATGTAAACTTTGAGTAGTATGATGATGTTACTGTCTTGAACTTAGTGGACCACTGAAACTACATTTGTATTTTAATTTTGTATCTCAGAAATACTTAAATATGCTTAAGTGTCTTGAGTACATTTAAGTACCCAGATCTGTATCAGAAATAAAGTGCATGCTTGCATCCTGCTTACATTAAGCTCTTGGTAGTGAAATTATAACAGGATGTGTTGGCTGTCATGTTGTAGCTGCTTGTAATGTTACCAAATTGATTGGGCAGCTGGGTTAGAATTTGGTTGTTGCCCAAATCAATATTATGTCTATAAATAGAAGAATTCCATGAAAATATGCCAGAAGTTTTTACCTTTCCTAAAGGACTGAGTATGCCTCCATAATATGGGTGGCCATAACAGTCAGATCAGTAGAATAAAGAAATTTTTGCATTAAATCATGGTGATTAATGGTTTTCAAAGGTCTTGTTTCATACATGGGTTGGTTTTAATGCTGTTTGTTATGTTTAGCCATATCCAGAAGATCCAGCAGTGTACAAACCACTCTCCCAGGAAGAGCTGCAGAGGATAAAAAATGAAAAGAAACAGAAACAAAATGAGAGGAAACAGAAGATATCAGAGAATCGCAAACATTTGGCCAGTGTACGGGTTGTACAGAAGAACCTTGTCTTCGTGGTAGGGCTGTCTCAGCGACTAGCAGATCCAGAGGTGAGCGGGTCACACTTGCAGATCTTGCTCTTAATTTGCTGCCATGAAACACTGGAATACCCTTGTGTTTCCCTGAAGGATACAAAATGAAACTGTTGAAAAGGTTCACTGCTCTGACACCCCCACTTCTTAAGGGAACTTAGCTTCCTGCTCCATAATAAGTGTTTGTTCTAGGGAGTACAGGTGCTTTGGGTTTTTTTTGGGTTTTTTTTTTTGGGTGGGAGGGGGAAGTTGTTCCATGTTTAATAATGGGAGCTTGGTTTTAAGGTAAAAATAAGCATAAGGACTTGTCAGGTACTCATTTTCCTAGGTTGCGTCTGCTGGCACTATACAGCTATATTGTGAATCACCAATTTTACAATGGGAACTTGGTTGGATTACCAAGAAACTGATATACAGTATCACACAAACCTGTAGGGACAGAAGAAAAAAGCCAACACTTGAAAGTATATACTAGGAAGAACCATAAGAATTATGTCCTTAAGAAGTTGTGGGGAAAAAGTAAGAGGAAGACCCCAGAAGAAGTTGGCCTACTACTCTGCATCATCAAAAATAAGGTTTTCATTTGAGAAAACTTATTATATTTAAAACGCTTTATTTACTTCCATCATCATTTATAGGTGCAGGTGGCCAGTGGAGTAAGTGCTAATGCATAAAAGGTATCTAGAATTAGAATATGGAGGAAATGTACTACAGGGTAACATAAATGTTTTCAAAATTACAGTGCCAGATTGATTTCAGTTTATCAGACTACATTATCTGGAGAAATCTCAAGCAGAAATGTCTGTTTCTTAGGTCTCAAAGTATGGTCTGTATTTTGCTAGACTGGTAAAGAACAAGTGTAGAAAGCTGTTTTTAGTGAAGGAGAAAAAAAGGAAGGATAAGAAGGGAAGAGGAAAAAATCAAGTTAAAACTGATGTGGCATATAACACTTCAGTAAGTACTGAAATATAGCAGCAAGTATTTGCAAGCTGTCACCACTGGCTTGAGGCTATTTATCGTTGAAAAATGCAATATGAATTTATTATTGAAATGCAATTTCTTTTACCAGATGGAGGATTTGTATTTAAGAGAAATAGTTGTAAATACAGTTGATTTATTTTTTTTTACATCTCAGATAATTTTACACTGAATACTTGAAGTAACTAGGAATGGATTTATTTGGGGAGTGGGGATGTGCTGTACTAGGTGTATTGGTAGAAGTATTCTCAATGACATACCAGAAAACAGTGTGTACTTACTGAATGCTGCATATAGTACAAGGTGACTTGATCTTCAAGAAATCTAGCCTGAGAGAGATGAGCTAAAAAAAGTATACACTATATTCAAGTTTTCTACTTAAACAGGCCAAAAACTCCTTCATAAATTGAGATTATTTGGAATGGGAGCTTGGCTGTTATGTGATGTTTCTGGAAGTAGATCTGTGGATCATAATGGAATACAGGTGCATCCTCTTGTGTTGACATGCTCTTAGGAGAATTGTGAAGGCTATGCTGTCATATTGTACCAGGAGTATAATCTGCAATGTGCTTAGGTAAAAGTGAAGTTTCTTTAGGATTGTCATTCTCTTCTGGAATGATGCCTTCAGGGTTGGGTGTAGTATGTTTCAAGAGGGTGTAGAAGAGCAGTCAGAAGAGATCAGTGAATGACTGGTTGTCTGTACAACATACCTCAAGTTCTTTGGGATGTTCCCAGTGTGATGCTGTTAGTTCTTGAAGGCGTTGATGCTGACTTGGGAAGGGAGAGGGGTAGTTTAGTTCTTGAATCAGTACAGTTCACCTGCACTATCCAGTGCTAATATGAAGATGGAGCAGAGGAAACAAATCTTCCTTTATAACCTCTCAGGTTATTATATAGAGCTAGAAATGCCCTTACTTTGTCTAGCTTCAGTCTGAGTAGTCAGTACTTTAATACCTTCTTCCATCACAGAAATGGGAAAAAAGGCTTTTGGTGTAAATGTGTCAAATATGTTGCCAGTTTCATTGGCACACAGGTAATGGTTATGCAGCAGAGTTGCTTAATATACTGGTGATGTTCTTGATTTGCACAGGGTCCCTAAATGGGATGTTAGTACTAACTGATTCCTAGAAGGGCAAGATGAGTATTTTTTTTTCCTTTATGGACGTGATAATCACTCATTCATTTCAACGTGATATTGATTCTGAAATGTTTTTTCTTGACCCTGGAAATTTTCCTTTATTGTCTATGTTTACTTAGTCTGGTCTTTGGAAAACTTGAGGTTATCTTGGTTTAAGGGAGCTAATTGGTTTACTCCCTTTTTCTTTGGAGCGTGGGGTATGGCAGTCAGGATTCAGCATTTTATACCCAGTAATTAATATAGCTGAATGCAAGTTTAAGGTGTATGGTTATTTGGAAGCAAGAATGTGATTTTTATTTTTTAAATCAAATTATAAAACAGGTGTATGCAGGAACTTCTTATGCTGAATGGGATATCTTTTGCCAGGGTGGGTTTTGGGTAATCAGAGTACTGAAATAATTTTTTAAAATACAACATGAAATGTGGGATATTTGTCATTAAAGTTCTGCAGTGACAACATATTTTGTATTGCAAGTAACCATGTTTTTATGTGGGAAAACAAATCTAAATCTTTGTGCTCTTGTCGTAGGAGAGACCTGTTTTTTATTAGTTAAAGGTTTTAGCTGCACAGTTTCACAGAAGAATAAGTACACCTCTGAATGAATTACAAGTTTACCACTTGATCTTTCTTTTCTTGTAGGTTTTAAAACGACCAGAATATTTTGGGAAGTTTGGTAAAATACATAAAGTTGTCATTAATAACAGCACATCATATGCAGGCTCACAGGTAGGTCAGAGGTCTTTTGTAATTTTTTTATTTTAGTTCCTTTAGAGAACACCTGTGCAGAGTGATCCTAGGCCTCCTTCTTTCTGATTAAGCAGTAGGTAAGCGTGTGAAAAGAAAAAAGGCCTTGTAAGAATCAAATTGCTCTTAAGTTACGGAGGTATTTTCCCACCAAACTGTCAAAGCTGGATGCAAAATGCAATGTAGAAAGATTAAAAATTGGGAGACAGGATGAGAAACTTTAAAGAAGCAGCAATATGGTATTTAATCACTAATCTGCATTTTGGGGATAAGTGTCTTTTAAGTAATTTTAGAATATTAATGCAACGTACTGATGCATTTCCTCTTTTCTTTGTCCTTTATGCATCAAATACGAGTTTTTATGGCTTCTACCTTTTTTGTCAATTTCTTACTAAAAGCATCAAGTCCTGAATGTACCACTTTATTAAATGATCATCTAAAAAGGTGACTTAATGATCAGGTCTCTCTGGGGAAGGAAAGAAAAACAAGTAAATAGTGTGTGTTTTTTCCTAGGGTCCAAGTGCCAGCGCATATGTAACCTACATTCGGTCAGAAGATGCCCTCAGAGCCATACAGTGCGTCAATAATGTGGTGGTAGACGGCAGAACACTTAAGGTGGTAATATGTTTATGTTCTTGCTTGTATGTTCTAGAACATTAATATTAGGGGTTAGCATACAATTTTGTTTGTATGGGTATGCTTGTGTTGCTGGACAAGAATGTCCAGTGCCTTGGCTTCTGACTTCTTTTCCTGGTATTAATCTCAAAATGGAAGTTCAGTGAGCATCCAGCCAGTGTTTTGGTGGGTTAGCAGATAACTTCTTAAAACAAAGTTTGAGGCAAACATATGTACCTCCTCCTCGTGCTCATAGTGGCTTTTTTGTTGTATAGCATAATAGTACAATGAGAAAACCCACTGTTAGCTTTTACAGAACATTTCTGTAGTCCATACACAGCACTTCTCAAAAGCTCCATGGGAAATCCAAGTTTTTTGATTAAACGGATGTTCAGGCTGATTTGGCCAAATTGGTGGCTATAGAAGATGTAGTTACTGTTCATTTCCTGTCCCTACTACGTCTCCTTATGATGATGCAAATATTTGCTGAAGCTCTTACTTAGGCATGTATTTAAATTAGATGAAAATAAAAATGCGTCCTAATTATCTAATCCTCGCCAATATATATTTTTCTTACAAATGGACTTTTTATTCCATCTGCATAAAAAATACATTATGATAGAATTTCAAATATTGAGGTAATTTTTTTTAGATATAACTTTATCTTATATGGTTAAAGGCATTCTTAACCTCCAGTACTTTTTTTTTCCTTCAGGCGTCATTAGGTACAACAAAATATTGCAGTTATTTTCTAAAAAATATGCAGTGTCCAAAACCAGACTGCATGTATCTACATGAGCTAGGTGATGAAGCAGCCAGTTTCACAAAAGAAGAAATGCAGGTAAGTGTAGTGAATGGGAAACAAATGAAATGTGCCACGTATGTCTTACTGCCTATGATTTAGTCTAATGTGTGTCATGTGTTTGCTGAATGTTATGTCAGCAATGAATTTTGAAATCCAAAACGTGATTAACCAGTTGGATATTGCAAAGAACAGTTAGCTCAGTTGCATGCTTTTTTTAAAGTCTGAGAAGTCTGGTGACTGTTCATGAGGCAAAAAGATGGAGATAAACTCTTAGCCAGAAATTTAAACAACCTGAGCTAACTACTTTCCCTTTTTTCCTACTAAAGTAAGGTAGTGTCATTATAGATCTCTGTGAACAAAGTTAGTTCAGATCTGGGTTTTATTGTAAAATTGGTCTGTAGATAGTTCTCATGGATCGACTCTTGTGGTGTGACTGACCATGCTGTCTGAATCCCAGTAACCCTCCTGGCATGTGAAGCATTTAGAAACCATTTGCAAATAAAACATTGAGGGTTACTATAATAGCACATAAAAAACGATACTGGGATTTTTTTTACTATCTTGACATCAAAATGCTTATTGTCTAGTGTAGGGAACCAAGTAAATGGATGGCTTTACTGTCTCAAATGTAGTGTGTTCTGAGGTCCTTTGGTCTGTCTCCATCCTTCTTCCACATGAGGTGTGGTAAAGCTGTTAAACTCAAGTCTGCCAGCCTTGCATCCACGCTGTCATTTTTGCATGTGATCTGTCCACGAGGCAGAGGGTCCCCACCCTTAGTTCTCAGCACAAATGTTGTTCTAGTAGAAATTTTTTTTGTGTTAGGCTGATGTAAGCTGAAGAACAAAGAAGAATGTCCACATCTATTTAATACTTTCCACAAATTATTTCTGAGGTTTTCAGCAGATAATTGCAGTAGAAGGAGAAATTCAAGGACAAACCAGGCTACCTTCCCTGTATGTTTTCCTGTATTTCTCCCACCACCTAGATCTGTTACATATACATGTTTGAGGGTATGTTCCCATCTAGTCTTTTTAGTTCTTTATAGACCTGTCAGCCACAAATTTGTTTAATCCATTTTGAACCTGTCGATATTTTAGTCTTTTGTGGCAGCAAGCCCCAGAAATTCATTAGCTGTTTTGTAAAGTGCTTTCTTTTGCCAGTGTTGAACTGTGAACTAGTTTTGTCAAGCATCCCTTAATCTTAGCTTTGTTTTGCTTGCTGAAAGTACAACCCCTTATTCACCTTATTCATTGCCTTTGTGGTATGGCAAAACTTGATCTAGTGTCTCCCAGCTTTCTCTCCAAATCGTAGTTTCTGGTCTTTTAAACTTCTTTTTAAAGCAGTTCCTCCATTTCTGCAGTGTCTGCTGCACTTCTCTCTATTTTCTAGCTGTGTCCTCCTTGAGATGGAGAGTTCATATGCGTGATGTGGGGGACACCAAGTTTAGTTTATCATTTTTCAGTGTGTTATATGTAGGGTGACACGTGCTTTTTAAATTTTGTTTTAGTTTATTTGAAGTGGCCTTCTTAGTGATGCCCAGCACATCTTTTGTGGCTAGTGCATAATCCACTAACAGTTTCAGAGGGCTGTTGGCAGTAACCTCAGCATCTTTTTTTCTGAGCTGTAACAGCCAGTTCACAGATCAGGAGTGGGTTACTATGGTCTAGACTGCTTTTACTATGGTCTAGACTGTGCATCTGACATGTCCTTGGTGAAGCTTATTTGCCACCATTTGCTTATTTACCGATTTCTCTGGGATTCTTTTGGAGCTCCTCATTGTCAACATGGCAGTTTATTACCCAAAAGGCTTCATATTGTCAGCAAAGAATTTGCTTTTAAGTATTTTCTCATGCATGCTGATGGTGTTGCTTAGAACTGATGCCAGTCGTCAGTCCTCATTGCTTGCTTCTGCACCCTGTTATACTTTGAACCATCTTCAATTCACACTCTCTTCCATGGCAGATTAGTAAATAACTGGTGTGAAACTTTATCAAAAACGTCTTCTTTTAAAGTTTTGCGGGGCCTCTCTGTTTATGCTTACTGACTCTATGAATAATTAATGTTAGTGAAGCAGGGTTTCCCTTAAAAAAAGATATTCAGATTCAATCCCACTGGCTTGTGTTTATCCATGAACTTCCAGTTTTAAAAATTATTGTTGTTATTATTACCTTGTAATCTTTGGAAGGATAGAGGTTTACTTAGCCGCCTGTAGTTCACAAAATCTTTTCTGCAGCCCTTTTTGTAGAAGTCAGTGGCAACTGTCAATCCTCTGGCCTGACTGCTAGTTGAAATTGATAGGCTATGTACCTAAAATTATTAGGTACGTAGGCTATGTATAGGCTATCCTGTTGGTCAGGATTTAATTTTCATGTGTGAGTTTCTTCAGAAGTCGAGTGAATTTTGCATCATCTTGGTGACTTACATGAATCTTCCTTCCCTGTTTCTTGTTACACTGCTTAAACTTTTTTTGAATTTCATATTGCTTTCTTAAAAGTAATTGGAAATTACACACCTGCTAAGTACATTGTTCTTTCGGTGTGCCAGCTGTTCTGCATTTGTGTCAGTGAATTTCCAGATCCATTTAATGAGATTGAATGTTCATTGTTTCAGATTTGATTCTGTATTTTTTGAAGAAATTGTCAATATATGATTTGTATTCTAGGTTAAATAATTAATAGATCTAAATACAGTGGCAAAATAAAAAGAATTGGTAGAACTCCAGGAAGTCTAGGAAAGTGAAGTTGGGAATTTTAGGTGGGTTGGAAATGCCAAGTTTGGTCTCTGGGTTGTCTGCTATAAATAAAATACAATTACTGCAAGCTTCTATATAGGATTTTAATCTTGTTTCTTTCTTGCGTTTGTGTGGCAAGTAAATGAACTTAAGACTGAGCTCTGATGTACCTGGCTGTGATATTCAGTGTTTAGACACTGAAGCAAGTTGAGAGATCCAGAGAGGTTTCTTCTTACTCAGCTGCTTAATGTTTGCAAATTTTTAATTGTGCAAACCTGTGCGTCAGCCTAATTGCTCCAGTCATAGTGGATGGTGAAAGAAGCATTTCCAGGGTGCAGAATATCTCAAGTTTGCATTTAGGTGAGCTATACTGTAGAACCATGCTTTTTCCTACTATAGGTAGCAGCTTGGATGTAGACACTGACAAAGTGATGCATACACCAGATGTTTCAATCCTTCTTGAGAGGTGTGTAAGTTGACTACATAAGGACACATTCAGGATCAATCAGTAATGGAGAACTGGAGAATTAAGTAGCAAAAGAATGGACTCCTTGATTGGGTTTGACCTGAAGTATTCCAATGAGATATGCAGTTGGCCTTCTACAGGCACCCATAAGGAGAAGTAGTTTATCAACAGTACTATTTTTTTTTTTATTTTGTCTATTCATGCTAATTTTTTTTAAAGTGATAATTTTCGTTTAGGTTGTAAAATTTTTCTAGGGCTATGTCCGCATTGCCTGCACATTAATTCCATTTTTGTTCCAACAACATAGTAAGGAATTAATTAATATTAAAAGGAGTTAGATTTTATGTGTACAAATAGTGTGAGAGCTTCCAAATCAATTCTGAAGATGTGATAGATAATAACTTTGGTGTTTCAGACTTAAGATTCAGAAAACCTGACCATAATTCTTGGCACTCGTTTCCTTTGCTAGAGGACTTCTTCTAGTATCTGGAAACAGTAGAGAAGCTGTTGTCAACTCTAAATTCACTGTTTATTTTGTATCTCAATTCAACTATAACAATACTTAACTTGGAAGTAGTAATTCTTAGGTTGGAGTGTTGTAACAACCTACAAAAACCATGAATGCTTACCTTGAATTTCAGATGTTAATTTAAGTTTTGGGGGTAGGAGTAGATCTTGCTGGTTTTGTTTTTTATATTAAGCCACAGAATGTTATCTGCAAGCTAAACTGAAAAATACTCTCTTTCTTCTCTTGCCATATTCTAGTACTCTGAAGTTGAATTGGACCGCCACAATTTCTGAAAGCAAGAAATTGTTCTCAACTGATTGAATTAGCTGAAGAATATTTCAGTATTTCAGTTATTAAAAAGAATTATTTATCCGTTATTGCTTAGAATATGCTGCTTGTCATGTCATACACCTCGGCTGTTTTATTAAGCTGATATAAAATTACTTTCATTTTTGATTGAAAGGAACTTTTTGTTCCTTCCCATCTTCTGAAAAGCTTCGTATGGTTGAAATATGAAATGCAGACTGCCTTGGAGATGTCACTGTTTGTGATTTCTGTGGTATATTTGTGAAGCTCTTGATTAGAAGTGAGGAGCAAGTTCTAATAAGGTTGTAGGTGCTTTTCTGCTTTAGAAGTCTCAAAAATTTATAAATAGTATAAATAGGTGATTTTTAGGCAAGCTTTAGAGCTGTTGAGATTGCATCTGTGCTGAGAGTGAGAAGTGCTGTTTTGAGTTTGACAGGAGTGAGCTGATAAGTTGTAAAGGCTAAACTACTAAGCTTTGGGATATATATGTGGGCATACTATATATATTAAAAAATTATAACTATATATATGATACCAGTATTCATTCATTGTGAGTTTCTCTTTCCTTAGGCGGGTAAGCACCAGGAATATGAACAGAAACTACTGCAAGAATTATACAAACTAAACCCCAACTTTCTCCAATTATCTACGGGTACAGTTGACAAGAACAAGAACAAAGTGACAGCACTGCAGAGGTACGATGCGTAAGTACTGATGCTGGACTGCCTGGTTATTCTTTTGGTTATTCCAAAGAAAACTTTTATTCCTATTTCATTCCCAAAATTGCCTCCTGTTTTTAGTACCTATTATATGACAAAAGCTGACAGGTTTTCTCTGTGGAGAGACATGTTGTTTCGGAGTGATATTCTCCAATTTAGAATGTTCTCTCTGAAGCTGCTCCACATTGCTCCCCCTTGCTGTCTCCTGTACCGGGCAGGAGAGGAGAATTGGAGGCACAGAAGGGAAAGATCAGAACAATTTACTAGAAACAGCAGTGAGATAAGAAAGCAATAACAGCAACAATGCAAATGACAGAGGATACAAGAAAGGGTCCAATGATTCACAAGTGATTGCTTGCCCCACGCAAGCACCCAGCAGTACTGACTACTTCCTCTGCTAGGCCATGCTGACCCATAAGAGAGCCCTTCCCCAGAAAATTACTTAAGGTGGTATGGAATCGATTGTCCTAGCCATACCCCTTCCTGGCTATTGAAGAAATAAACCCTGTCCTGGCCAGAACCAGGACGCATGTACCACTTTGTTGTAAAACAGAGTGTGTATCTTTGGAAAGAAACATGTTTCTGCATTTGGATCAGTAGTTCAGAACAAGGTATTCTGAAAGAAGACCTTGTATTTTATATTTGCAAAATCAAATGCATTTGTTAAAGACCAGATGTCTACTTTCTTGGTATGGTGTCATTATGAATGCAGTCTGTATTTTTGTAGCTGAGATACCTTGTAACCTTAGTATGCCTTTTACATCATGATTTGTAATGTAGTCCATATATTTTTTACTATGTTCTAACTGCAGATATGTGTATATATATATATAACTTGCTAAAATAATGTTCTCTTGATGCAGTTGGTTCAGTAAGTTATGAAAAGATTTCTGTCTATATTAGTATATAGTCTCTCAAATATAAGTGAAAGTCTGAGGTTACCAGTCCTTAATTATTCATTCAAATATCACATGTAAGATAAAGAAATAAAAACTGTTGACAATTTTTTCCACTCCTTTTTGTAGGGGGTTAGATAAAGGAGATGAGCAGAGCGGAATGTGAAAGTTAGGTTATACTTCATATGAACCTTGGCCTTGTGTTCAGGGTTTGTGTTGTGTGCCAGTTCATGCACTACTGAATTTTTCAGACAGTAGTTTGCCAGTGGCAGCATCACTGCACAGACCTGTGAACAAGACAGTGGGTACTGTATCTAAAATACTGTCAATGAGTCTTGAATTACAGAATACAATTCTGAGAGCTGGTATTCCAGTTGGTATACTGGGACTGTGTTCTTTAATTTCTGAAGGCATTTTCACTGCCTTTGCACTTTTTTTTATATGCACTTTGACTGCAAGTGGGCAGGGCTTCCAGAGGGATCTTTTTTCTTAAGGACAGAGCTGCTTCTTATTTCTCAGGCACTGGTTCAATATTGACTTCAAAGGTACAGTGCAGCAAGCAAAACAAATACACCATTTCTTGAACTTGGTTATTGATTATTTTATGTTTCAAATCAGAACTAATTTTAATTTGAAATCTGCATAGATCCCAGCAAAATAAATTATACCAATGGGTGAAGAATGCGCTATCTGCAACTGCAGCAAACTTTTGTGCCTTTAGGAAGCAATTAGGAGTTGGAGCTTGGCCAGCCTGTGGTGCTAACATTTAACATTTAAGGAAAAAATGGCATGTAACTAAAGGCAGCAAGTGGTAATTTCTGGAGGTAATTTCTCTTGTCAGTTGAACAGCATAATCACAGCTCAGACTCTGTTCTTTGCTCATGTCTAAGTACCACCTTTAGAGTTGCAAAGTGAGTTTCCTGCAGCTGGGATTTGGGCATGTTTCGGTGTAGCTTTTGCACTGGTGAATGCACATTGCTCTTTCACAGTTTCTACCCAATTGGGTTCTTGTAGGATTGTTTTTGTAGGATTCATTGATAGGATATTCATATTTCTAGCAGTTTGTCACAGCCTCTTGCAATTCCAAAGTGGTTCTTGTGTTTCTGGGGTGCAAAATTTGTGTTTCATAACAGAAAGGAACAGAAGTTGAGCTTTAATTATAAATAACTGTCCTGGTTTAGGACAAATTAGGGGAAATCTCCAAAAGGGAGCCCCCTAAAAAAAAACCTCCAACCACCCCTCCCCCAATACCGGGTTCGGGAAGGAATTCCTCGGAGGAGCACAGTGGAAAACAAAACCTATTTATTAACAAATAACAAAAGAACACTCCCCACGGACTAGCCAACTAATTGTAGATTCGTCAGGTTGT